CCCCAAAACCCCAAAACCCCAAAACCCCAAAACCCCAGTTAAGGAAGCTTAATGACGTTAGATTTTAATAAATATAAATGACCATTAATTTTAAAGTAACGTCGCTAGAACGTATCATCAAGTTTATTTGATTCTGAAACCCACCCATTTATTAACACTATTAGTTTAAGAGAAAAAGCGAATAACTTGTCTTCCTTATTAATAAGAAAGTATGATTAAAATATATGACAAAATTCTTTTGTAAAGCTATCATTCTGGTGAATGTTGGGATCGATGTTTGACATTATAAAAAGATGATTGTACACAAATTTTAGGTCAAAATCTATGTTAAAGGTAAGTTCAACTCATATTACAATTCAAGTGAAGAGTTAAATGACTTTGATAGCTCCACAGCTTCTCTTGCAGTTTCGTCAGAAGCATGTTTTCTTTTGTACTCGTCTATGAACCATTGGAGATCATGACTGACAGTAAGATAGTAATAATAAGCAGCATTCATCAAATTTCCAAGAGCTATTCCTATCCAAGGGCCTTGATACTCCCATCCTAGTGCAAAAGTTCAATAAAACGAGATTGGAATTGCAATGAACAGATAAGATACAATATTAAAAACTACAGTTTTCTCTTGTATTCCAAGCCCAATAATAACTGAAATGTTAGTTTCTTTTAAAATATAAAATGCTAGAACCAACGAGTAAATATAAACCATTTGGTTCATTTTATCTAAAACACTTTCCTTGATAGTGTAAAGTGAGAAAATATAGCTTTTAAAAGTGTAGAGAAATATCATTGATGCACAAGAGAACATTAGTCCAAAGAGGAACACTGAGTTTATCAATTTTTGAGCTCCTACTTTACTTCCTTGTCCAATCTTATTTCCTATCATTGAAGATGAACTCATACTAACACAATAAGCATACAAGAATGTAAGATACAGAAGATTCACCAGAGATGTGTTTGCAACAAGACACTCAATGTCAAGAACTCCAGAGAGTAAGATAATTACTTCCACAGCAATGAAAGAAAATAATTGGAGGAAGAAAGTTGGAACTCCTTTTGATAATCAACTTGCCCAACCTTGAAATGCTTCTTTCCCCCAAGGCTGAAATGCTTCTACTCCATACCCCAATCAGTGAACTACAAAATAGATTATCAAGGTATTAGTGGACGATTGAATAATTACAGCCATAGCCGCACCAGTTAGTCCTAAATCAAGATAATGGATTAGAAGATAGCACCAGAAAAAGTGCAGCACCAGCGTTATAAAAGGAATAGGTGAGTGGACTTTAAACATCCTCATTGAATTTAATATCTTCCTGTAGATATCAAAGTATAACTGGAAAATGAAAGCAAACATGGAAATACGCACATAGAACTGAGTATTGTATGCAAGCTCATCCTCAATACCAAAGAGTTTCAAGAAGGTTCCAATAAAAGATAGACAAAAGAAAATGGGTAATTCTCAAAGAAGAAAGAGAATCTTGCTTCTGTTGATAATATGACCCATTCTTACAAAATGTCCTGCTCCGAAAGCTTGAGAAAGAAGAGCTACTAGTGAATTATTAAACCCAAGGACATAGCTTCTCAAGAACATATTTAGAGTCATATTTCCTAAACCAATTGCTCCCATTGCATACTGATTATCAACAGCTCTCGAGGTTACAACTAATGTTACTGTGAAACAGCCAACATTAGCTAGCGAAGCTAGGAACAAAGGAAATGCTTTAGTTGTAACCATCCATAATATCTGCAGATGTGTCGAATTCTCTAAAGATAAAAATAATTGGTACCTATGTCAATCTCATTGGAAGTCTTAAGTTCCTGTTTGTCTGGTTGAATCTGATCAAAACTGTGCATCTCAAGAAGAGAAGAACTCAGATGCTTCCGGTTATTGTGTTTATCGTCCATTTTAAATTAATTGATATTTGCTCAACCTCAATATATAGTGCTGGGGTTTTGGGGTTTTGGGGTTTTGGGGTTTTGGGG